AATAAATAGCTCACATGTCCAGCAATTGAACCGGCTAGTATATATCTAGGAGAAGTGAAAATACATATACATGGATGTTTATACAGCGTTGTTTATAAGAGCTTGAAGGTAAAAACAACTCAAAGTCCATCAAGTGATACATGGATAAAGAAACTATGGCATTTTCCTTCCAGTAGAACTGTATTTGGAGTGGCACATGCTACAACATAGATAAAACCGGAACACATTTTGTTAAGAAGTCAGTCACAAAAGACTGTACAAAGAAAAAAAGATGTGTTGTAAGTCTGTGGGGTAGGTTATAAGTCCTAAGAAGTCATTAAACAGATAGGTCATTAAATGAGGAATATCTATATTTAAAAAGAAATAGCAGGGAAAAAAATAGCAGATGCTAGGACTGACAGGGGGCTGTAGCTCTGTCTCTTGAAGACAGAGCAGCAGCGACTGGAGTTACAGGGCTGCTCAGAGCACTTGCCTTGCATGTGCAAAGCTCTGGGTTCCATCCCCTGAACAAGGGCTTTGGAACCTGTGTCCTTTGGCAAGTTGTTTTGTCCTTTTGAGTCCCCGTCCCTCATCTGTAAACTGAAGCGAGCCCCATCTCAGTAAATTATGACAGTGTATGAGAAGGTCCACGCAGCTTCAGTTCTGAAATGGATTTTGAAGACTCAGACTTAAGCAAAGAGGTAGAGGTAGGAGGTGTGTGTGGACAGACAGATCCCCTTGCATTAAAGTCACACTCACAGCAAGCTTTCTCTCCTGCATGTGCAGAGCCTGCTTAGCCAAAAGGCTGGAGACAGGGCCTGGGAATTTTCTCCAAGGCCCCAGAAAGATGGACTGGTAGAGGTTAGAAACCTAGAGGGGATTTGGGTGAACTCTAGATAACCCTGCTGTCTGTGGAGACCCTTGGGAGGTAGAACCAGGGGAGAGGCCCTGAGAGAGCTAAGAGAAGGCCACACTCCTGTGACAGCTAAAATATGGCTCATTTTCAAGGTAGTGGGTTGAGTTAGCTCATTCTGATGTATTTTTTCCCAGCTATGATGCATCTGCCAAAGATACAGAGACACTTTTCTGTAAACAGCTAGGGAGTAGAAAGAAGTACAAAAGGCTAACCAATCAAAAATAATACAAGCGAGCAACTTGGTAATAGAGGTACTTTAGCGTTAAGAAATACTACTAGTGTGGCAACCCAGGTGGTAAATAAAGTCCAAGTGATCATTATTTCACAGATTCCGTATTTGTAAACTCACTAAAATCTCCTTGTAAGCCCTAAATCGCTACTGGTGGTGCTTTAGAGGCCATTCATAGACACAGGCAAAGCAGCACCAAATTTTGGTTCAGAATTTCAGAACATGCTTTCAGCTGAGGAGGAACAAACACCATCTTTCTTTTATTGTTTTCTTTTACTTTCTTTCCTTTTCTTCTTCTGCTTTCCATTTCCCTTTTGTTGTCTGCCTCCCCCTCCCCTGCCTCAGTTCTGAGAAAAGAACTCAGGGAAGGTCTTAAGCTACCTCTCCAGCCCTTTTTAAACAATTTAATGTTTTTGGCTTTGTTTTTGTTTTGAGACGGGGTTTTGGACTTGAGATCCTCCTGTGTCAGCCTCCCAAGTAGCTGGGTGGCATCATACCTGGCGCTCTGTCCTCCTTGAGCTCCATTCTCGCACTGCAAATGGGTCACACCTATCAGAGCCACGGTTTCTGCACTGCTTTGCTTTTTGTTGCTCTTGCTGTTTTAAATGGCCCCAAATGCAGTGCTGATGCGCTCTGTAGTGTTCCAAAGCGTGAGAAGGCTGTGATGTGCGTTCACTGGGAAAGTATGTCAGTAATCTTTCAGGCATGCGTCCTGGTGCTGGTGGCTGTGAGTTCCATGTTAACAAATCGACAATATAATTAAATAATAAAGTGTCCTTAAACAAAAGCACACATGAAGTCCCTCTCAGCTGACAAAGGTGTGACCAGAGGCTCTAAAAGAGCTAAGCTAGGTGCAACAATTCAGTCTTTGTGGTGTTTTTATAACTAAAGAAAATAACAAGAATTTCATCCATTATCTCATTTTCATACCCACAAAGTAGATGCTGTCTTTGTCCTACAGGAAACTGAGGTCATCCACGTTAGATCATGTGACTCAGAGCTGACGTGTGCTGACAGAATTTGGATACATCTCTGACTCCCAGGGAGGAAGAGAACTTTCTAGCCTTGGAACCAGAGAGCAAGTTCTTAGGAAAAGGTGTCTGGTCCCAGATCAGGGTTGACAGAAGCACACAAGGAGAGTCAGGCTTAGTCCGGAATGGTGTAAGTTTGAGAAAGGAGTAGGAAAGAACTGAGCACCATCCTGCAGATGTAGTGTGCATTGGTCAGAGCGCAACTAAGACAGAGGAAGAGATAAACAGCAACTGGGGAGGAGCCCAGGAACAACCATGTCAAGGGAGAACAACGGAAGGAATAGGAATTGTTCAGCACAGAAGTGATGGCATGGAGGAATGCCAAAGTATCTGTGAATGTCTCTGACCTACCCTGTGGATGAAGATCTAGATTGAAAGCAGAACCAGGACTTCAGACTGAAAGTTATGGGGCAGACGTTGGCTCAGTGTAAGGCGTACTTTGTGATCATCAGAGCTCTCTTACGAGCCAACATTAGACATGGTGGTCCATAGACCACATCTAGCTGCAGACACATTTTGTTGGCTTGCAGAACTAAATAATATCTACATAATATATAATAAAATTATAGGTGTGTCGGCGCATGCCTGTAATCTCAGCCCTGAGGGAGCCCGAGACAGGAGGATGACAAGTTCAAGTCCCACCTGGGAAACTTAGTGAGACCCTGTGCCTCAAAATAAAGTTAAAAAGGGCTGGAGATGTAGCTCAGTACAAAGGCCCTAGGTTCACCCGTGGTTAAAAAAACAAACAAAACCCAAACATAACAACAGCAAAATCTTAGTACATTTTAAATGCCCTTTTGTGGGACATGGTCTCTGTCCCTTCTGTGACTTTGGCCCACATCCCTCATATGTAAATTCCCTAGCTCTTATACAGTATGAGGGTTACCAGGTTTTCCAAATATAAGTACAGGATACAGTTATATACAAACAAAATGATAATTTTAGTATAATATGTTCCAGGCAATACTTTGCATAAACTTGAATTATATTTGTACTTATATCCCAGTATTTCCATTCTGTATTTAATCTGACAGCTCTACCCTGAGGCTTTAAATGGGAGTCCTCCATGCTGTGTTTTGGGAAGTGAACTCCATATTTGGAAAATATTCAGAGACTTGTCTCAAAGGAATGTTTGGGATGGAAACAAGACTAAAATGGTTTAAATATGCCCTCGCCCTATTTTCTGCAGATTCCATTTTAGAGCAACATAATAATAAAAAGCAGGGGGAGTTAACTCCGAGAAATGACCTCGGGGAGGCTCCGGGTGTGGCTGACAGGTGGGACTCCAGCTTTCTGCCCTAACAGCGGAATATTCTACCAAAGAGCTGGGATTGGTGGATGGAGGTTATCATCCTCTAGTAGCAATTGCTAGTGAAACTCTCTTTGAAGTGAAAGTTCACCGGTCTGTGCAGCCGGGGAGAACAATGGCTATCTCCTTCTGATTCAGAGCATGAACAAAGCAGAATGCAACGCACCCAAATAATTGTTTTTGTCTGTCAAAAGCTATCTTCTGCTTCTCTGAGACTGTGGTTAGTCATCTTGACACTTGTTTTCTTGTCCTGCTGCCAGAGCTGCTTTTCTGGTTGTTTTGAACAGACTGTGACTGACTGACTCCCAAGGAACATGGCAAATTGATAGAGGAAAAGAGAGTGAGATTAGCAGCTACCACGGCCTCTGTTTCCTAGGTGGAAAATGAGTGACAGGATCTGAGAGCACTTGTAGAAAACGTACTTCGGAAGATGTGTCCACAGTCTTAGGTCAGTGACGAACGGTTCCAGTGTCCTTTCTGGCCTCCAAAGAATTCAAAGGTGTCTGTTGGGACAATTTGGTGTGACTGCCTTGTTTTGGATACAAAGAAGTTAGATTATGGTAGGGTGACAAGTCCAGAGCTGAGGACTGCAGTCAGCTCGTGGGCCAGAGCTCTTTGCAGCTTGACACACTATTATTTGTTCTTGGTTCTCGGTTTACCAGGTCCCCCCTCCCATACTTCCACACACTTTTGTCAATGAAATGGATGAAAGGACAAAGCTCAGGGGAAGACAACAAAGACAATAAGGGACACAAAGAGGTGGCAATTCTCATATGTCCTTTTTGGGAAAAGATCCTAGACTTGGACTTTATCATCTTTTTAAAAGATGTATGTGTTAATCATATCCTCAAGTGCATTCAGATACTCACTAAACTCTGAGTGTTAGTCTGTTCTTCCCCTTCCTCCTCTTTAAGGTTAAATCAGTAAAACCTCAAGGGTTACTCTAAGCAAAGCTAGATAAAGCTCAATTTCCTCCTTGTAAAGGAGGAGGAAATCATTTAATATGTCCTTTCTTCTCATAGAAAACCTGAACTTTGGGTTGGGAAGTAATGGACAGAAAACCAGGTGACTCATGTCTCTACTACCGTGAAATCATAACTCTGTTCTCAATAGGTATTGTCTCTTCTGTTAGACCTTCACAGGGATCCTGTCAAATTTAAAAAGTTTCAATTCTATTCACTTTTTACATTTAAGATTCTTTAGGGCCCTGTATTTAAACTATGCATATGGATTTCCAGCCAATACGTGTTGAATGAATGAGACAGGAATGAGAAAAGAACAATGAGTTTGAGAGCAGGTATATCTTGGACCAAATCCTAGCTCTCCCATTAACCAGCAGGTGAACCTGGGTAGGTTTTTTATTTCACTAAGACTCGGTTTCCTCATCTGCAAACTGCAGGTAAATCACTTTTCTTACAGGGTAGCTTGTGAAGAAAAAAATGGACTAACACAGGTACTTGATAACTAGCAGCTGATATTATGGTGCTTGTTGAATTAATGTAAAACATAAACTAGAAGAACCACTACACAGCAGTATGATTTTCTAATCTTTTAATGCAGTCTCATTTTGTTTGGCACAAAGATCTAGATGGCTAATCTGGTGGATGAGTTGCTTTGTGTAGCTACCCACTGCGGTGGGCTCTACTTTACTGGTCCCTAGAAGCGTTTAAGAAGAGGCACTGTAGTCAGCAGTGGGATGCGGGCCAATTGTTTTATTTGTGATGCCTATTTGTACCGCAAGGCCAGCCAGCATTTGGCTCTCGGGAGGAAATCTATGGCCCCATCCACGTCATTACTCCACAATGCGGCGGAAGGACTGGACCGCGGGCGACGCTGCACCCCAGTCAATGGGCTTCCGGTATTCCTTCTTGTCCAGGAGGTACTGTCTGCCGCGGTAGTTGGGAAGGTCATAGAAAATCCAGGCACCCTCCAGCACCTTACAGGAGTGGATCTCTCGCATATGGAACTGCTCCATGATGGAAGGGCAATCTTCAGTAGTTTCATACATCTGACCATTAAAATCTCCTTTCTCAAAGATCTGAATCTTATACTGGCCTCCGCTAGACTGAAAAAGCACAGGAGAAAATGAACGTCCATCATTAGGGAAGCTGCCAGCAGGTCAAGAACTCAGAACATCATGATTCAGAACCTTCCACCTTGAAAGTGAAGTCACTGAACTCCTGTCCCCAATGAGACCTGATTGGAACAGCTGACTTTCAATAAGAAAAAGTTCCTTTCTCTAAATACCCAAGAGGTAGCGAAAACATCACAGAAAGAAGTAGTGTATTCAGCCTTGTGATGACAGATGTTTTTTACAAGTTTCATCAGCCAACAAAAGCCAGCCACCCATGCAGCGATAGAAAGACTGAAGGAGGGAAACGGGGGAGAAAGAGAGAGAAATAAGTCCCCAGACTCACCAGATGAACAGCTTTGCAAGAGCCCACGCGGTCGTTGAGGCCCATCCAACGCTGATATTCAGGGTACTCGCCCTGGGGTAAGATGTACACGTGCCCAGCGAAGTTGGGTCTTTCATACACAGCCCAGGTGCCTCCTTCCACTCTAATGGAGTTGCAGCGACTTAGGTATGAGTGGAAATCCACACAGTCGCAATCACAGTCATAGCGGCGGCCTTGAAAGTTTTTGTCTTCATAGAAAGTAATCTGAAGGACAGGCAGATAAACAGAAGAACCGAGTAGGGCGGGTTTATTTACATAGAAAATAAAAATTAAAAACAAAACAAAATGGATTGCCCACTGTAGAAATTCCTTGTTCAATTTTGAGGAGAGACTATATGGATTTACCCCACCTCACATTTGGTTTCTGATGGACAACTTTCACTATCAATGATCAATGGGAACAATACTTTGCAAAGGCTTAAAATGAAGCAACACTGAAGAGTGCTCTAAGACAATGGATTCTTTCCAGGACTCTGGTCGCAAACCGAGTTGGATGAGAACCAAATCAAGACCAACAGTTAGGTTAGGTTGTATATTTATGTCTATTCCTTCCTTCAGGATCCTAAGAGACTTTTCCAAGGGCAAGGACCAAGCCTTATTTAAGGTATGGACTCCCTGTGCCCAGCACCCAACACGTCCTCAAAAATGTATCTGATGAAGATGAGTAATTTTTACATGCAAGAATTCAAGCCAGATGATGTAGATGGGGCTGGGGACTTAGCTCAGCGGCAAAGCACCTGCCTGGCAAGCGCAAGGTTGTGAGTTCGGTTCCCGGTACTGGAGAAAAACCAAAAAAAAACAAAAAAAAAAACAAAACAACAACAAACAGATGATGTAGATGTACAGAGAAACAGGAAACAGACTAGTTTCAGGGAATTTTAGATTGATACAGAGCATACACACATGAAAATATACCATGGAACATTGTGCCGTAGTTTACTGCCAACAGGATACCCGGGAAGTAAGAAGGTGTATAGCCCTGGAAACTAGAATAATAGGCCTGAGTTCTACAGCAACTTCCCCACCTCTCTAGGCTTCAGCTTCCCATTTGTCAAATGATTTGACAAGAACTGGAGCCCTGGCTATGAAAGAAAACTACAGATTTCCCAAATAGACATGAGTTCCCAGGAACTTCTAGGGATTCATGAAGTAGTTTCTAAAAGCTGATATGAAACCACAAATGGGCTAGTTTTTCCTCCTTGCTCAATAATTCCCCAGTCTATGACCCCTGCTAGGTTTTAAACTGAACTGAAACTCCAGGGCATGCGTTCTGCAAGTAATCTCCTGGCATTATGCCGCCACCTCGTGGCGGATTTGCTATGCTGACCTAAAAGAAGAAAACCAAGTTCGTGTAGATAAAAGGAGCAGAAGTCAGAATTTTTTTTAAAGTCTGAAAGTCGAATAGATGTTTTCCACAGGCAATGGAAGGGAAAAGCCTGTTCCAAGAATAAAAACGGTAAGAGCATGGCCCATGATAGGGACAGGAAGTTCATTAAAGCTAGTGCATGTTGAATATGTGGTAAAGGATTAGGCAGAAAAGCCAGAAAAAATGACCCAAGAGCCACGCTAGGGTCCTCCTGGAATTTCTATGAGAGCTGGACATTAGTGGTTTGTTCCCACAAACAGATGGTTGCTAGGAGCCAGGTGAGGACAAAGGAAAGGAAACTGCAATCAGAAGACAAACAAGAAATTTAGGAGCTGGTGACTAATTAGCTGTCGAGAATGAAGAACAATGACTCACAAAGGGCATTCTCTTTCATGCTGGGTCGTTCTTTCCAGATAGCAACATGCTTCTAATTATTTCCTTCCACCTGAACCTTCCCCTACCCTTCCCGTTACTCTATTTCCTAGTCCCCGACAGCTTCCTTATTTTCCTTCCCCCTCTATGAGTACAATCACCTACCTCATCTCTTTTCCTCAAATTTGTTTAGCAGAGGACCGATGCCTCAGCTTATGGATAAAGAAAAAGGTCCCAGCACCACTAGTTAGTAGCTATGAGACCCCAGACAGGGCACTGAAGCAGTGTCTAAAGGTTTTTAATGGGGCTGGGGATTTAGCTCAGGGGCACAGCGCCTGCCTGGCAAACTCAAGGTCATGAGTTCGATTTCCCGTACTGGAAAATAACCGGAAAAAAAACCAAAAAACCAAAAAAAACAAAACAAAACAAAAGAAGTAAAGGTTTTTAATGTGCAAAATAAGGTAATGGTATCTACTGCAGAGATATAGTCTTAGAAGCCAATCACATTAAGCACTCAGTTTAATACTTGACTCCTAATTGCCAATAACCTTTTGCTATAGTTGTTACAGATGAAGAAGCGAAGTGACTTGCTGACGATCACTAGCAGTTACAAGTCAGTGACAGGCAGTGCGAAACTCCTGTGTATTGATCTGGTTGACTTTATTTTCCTTTAGTGTCTTCCTATCTGCACTGTTATTCAGTTCTCCAAAGCAGCATTTACTTTCTTAGACACTGTGCAGGACTAGCTGTGGGCCTGAGAGGCTTTTCCCAGGACTGTAGAGAAATCTTTAGGAAAATAAGTAACTTCTCTAAAGAAGGATAGGTTTTAAACTCCTAAATTAATTCAAGTTGCCTTTGGTTTTCAACCAACATTCAGCAAAAAGGCTTTGCAAAGCACATGCTGTGGGAAATGAAGTTACCATCAGCTACTTTACTCCACTGTCTCATACCTACTGCCCTCTGTACACATGCTTGACAACAGATCTGAGTAGAAACACTCACGTTCTCCAAGGTTACTGCGCTGGTCCCCCTCCCAGCGGACTAGCCAAGCGTCCCAAGCTGAAACAAAGCACCTGTGCAGTGCTGCCATGGAACCATTACTGGGCTCTAAAACTAAACTCTTCTTTCAGTGTGAGTCCTAAATTTCAGAGCCAGAGAATGTCGTACCTGAGGATACTCAGCTTCTCTTTCTAAAGAAATAAGAAATCTGCCCTTTTAGTTGCCGGCTGAGAGGTTTTGGCCCTTGGTCCAAAAACTGTGTACAGAAGTCTAAGGAATGTATAGGTTTTCCCATAATTTCTATGAATTTCAAGTTTGCATTTTGAAAAATACCCTACCAATCCAATCCAATGGAAAGAAAAATGCCTTGAATATTCCAGAAGTTACACAACATGCTTCATAAAATCCATTCCTTTCGGCAGGCCTGTAGCTCCTTTGATTAAACTGCTAGCAAGACAAGGGGAAGAATAAGAAATAATTTATTATCTCCTTTGGCTCAGCAAGCCAGTTTCTTAACTAAATGAACAACCCCATTATGAGAAATAAAAGATCACACCATGACTACTCTGGAAAGCAGAGTTTGAGAGCAGATGTTTTCATCTGTGTAAGATGGTTATGTAAGCCGGGTGTGGTGGCACACGCCTGTAATCTCAGCACTCGGGAGGCTGAGGCAGGAGGATCATTGTGAGTTCGAGACCAGCCTGGGCTACAAAGGGCTCAAGGCCAGCTGAACTGCATAGCAAGACCTTGTCTCAAAAAAAAAAGACAAAACAAACAAACAAACAAACAAAAAGATGGTTATGTAACAATCTTCCTCAAGATGTGGCAATCCCTCCAAGGAGTTCAAATTCTTTTTCAGTGGAATCTACATCGCATCTAGAACCTCAGAGTACTAAAGACATGGTGTTACTTTTTCCCCTGCAAACTTTGTTGATAATAAACATGATTATTAGTTGACTGCTAAATGGAAAAAATATTAGGCACTAACCAATTATTATTAACAATTATAATTATTAATAGCCACCCCCGGACACGATGTACTGAAACGCACACAACCCTGCCTGCATAGTTTTTTTCCCGAAGCTGTTCAGTCTGAACTGAAACATGAGGAAATAATCAGGCAGCTCCAGATGTGCACCCTTCTAAAATACACCTACCTGGCCTGGAGTTCAAAACATGTCTTTTTCTTAAAAAACAGAAAGGAAAGTAGAGGGACTATTCTAAATTAAAGTGGCTAAAAGAAAAAAAAAAATTAAAATAGGCTAGGGACATAACAACCAAATACAGTACATGATATGTGATCAGATCTCACATTATATACATTTCTAAGGACAGTAAAAAATTTGAATATGGTCTATCAGGTGGATTTATGCTTGAGATCAGGAATATGATGGCCGAAGATGAATCCTGGGAGCATGATGAAACTGATATTTGTGCAGGGAGGTGTTTCTGTTTCTCGGAGACACAAATCTAAATACTAATATGACAGTAAAATGAAGTCCACTGTTTGTTTCAAATGGTTTCATACAAAGGGACAGAAGAGATGAAATATGGCAAAGTGTTAACTGAGGGATGTAAGTGCAGGACACACAAGTAGTTGCTCAACATCTCATTCTTTTAAGAGTCACTACGTTTGAAAATTTCCAAAGCACAAAGTTGAGAGGTGGACCAGACAGTGGTTGTGTCTTAGACTTACTGGATTGTGGCAGAGATGAAAGGAAAATGAAGTCTATCTTCTCACTCTCAAAGCCCTCCCGGAGAGATCAATAGGTTAGCCCAGCAATTTTCAGTCAAATATTGTAGAGGTAATTTTCTTAACATTAAGTGAACACAGAGAGTCACTGTTTGAATGAAGGAGAAAGTTTAGTTCCTCTGACTGGCCTGTCTGCTTTGGCCTTTTGGAACGTTAACGATTGAGGCTGAATTTCACAAGACAATTTAACTGACTAAGTGTTTTTTAGTCCACACAACCCTTAACAGCATGTTCTATTCCTGTGCAGATACACACTCTTAGTTTCCAGAGGGTAGAAATCATGATGATATTACATGTTATTTACCCATACCATATTTGGCATACCACATGAAGTCCTGTCCGGCAAGTCTGTTAGAGTAAAAAAATAGAAGCATTCTCTGCTCTTCTTTCCCAATTCCAGTCTCATACTCACCTCTTGGCAAAGAAGCACCAGTTTTTTTCCACGTTCTCTCAATGTATCGCTAGGCTAAGCATCAGTACGGCCATTTACTTACCTTGGTTCCAGTTTTAGACATCTTTGGTGCACAGGTTGACTTCTCCACTGCCGAAAGAAATACAGGAGTAGCTATGGAGAGTCAGAGGCAGAGACATTTATACTGGGCTGGTTTCAAATCAAACATTTGCTTAGTCATGAGATTAGGATCCAAAAATTGAGTCAGTCATTTAGAGGCTGTTGATGGTTTCTAGAAAAACAATTGGGATTATGAAATAAAAGAAAGCTTCACCACCCTCTTTTAATGCTTACCAAGCCCTGCTGCATTACAGACTTTGCTGAGTCAAGACACCAAAATCCAGCCAAAGTTTTAAAAATAAAAACAAAAAAGTCTCTCTCCCCTGGGCAATTCTTCCCGCCCCCCCCCCAGGAAAAAAAACTCTAAAATTCCTAATGTCTTTTTTTTTTTTTTTTCTCTTCACCAAAACTGGCAAAGGAGTCATCAGACCTTGTTTCTAAGGTGACATGTTCTGAAAGCAATAAAACTTACATGACAGCAGAAGGGATGCACGGTCTTGTGTTCAGGTGGGGTGAAAAAATCACTGCAAAGATCATTCTTGGGACAATTACAAAAAAAATCTTCACATAGGATGTATTAGATATTATTGTGGTACCAATGCTTAACTTTTTGAATTTGATCATGGTAGCATGACCAGGTAAGAGAATGTCTTTGTCTTTAGGAAATGCACGCTACTGTATTAAGGAATAAGATTTTAAGATGTCTAACATCTGTTCTCAAATTGTTCAAGCAAATACTACATAGAAAGTGGTAATGTGAATGAGGCAAAATGTTAATAATCGGTGAATCTACACAGGATTAAACGAATTATTCTTGCAAGTGCTCCGTGAATTTTTTTCAAAACACAAAGTGGAAAATGTTCTACTCCACAAGGATGCTACACTAAGCGGAGAGACAGAAAGCTACTATGGGACTCCAGACCTTGCCACCTGTAAGGTGATTTTTCTTTCACTCATAATATAAGAGGTGATGAACATAAAAAGTGAATGTTCAAATTTTTAAAAGCTATTATGGTAGATGTATCGCCATTAATCCCCTCAAAATACTTCCCCTCACTTGCAGCACAGCACACTTAACTCATCACTCTTGCTACTTTCTTGAGTGGTTCTGAGAGTCTTCTTTTGTGTCTTTGTGAGATGTGATTAAAAAGAAAAAAACAAATACACTGAATGCTCTTGTGCAGTGCTATCCAGCAGAAAAGCAGGCTCCTGAACACATCACAGTGCCACTGGACCGGGGACTGTGCAACTTTTGGCTCTTTGCCAAAGTCAGAATGACCATGAAAGGTAAATGCTTTGAACTGATTCGGAATGTTGAAGCAGCCACAACAGCACCACACAAGACGCTAATGAAGTCTCCGGAACTATGACAGTAATGTGATGTGCCTTTTACTGTAATACATTTCTTTAAACTTCACCCTAGTTTTCTATTAGACTGTGTCGTACCTGGGGCCCGTTCAGAGAACATTTTCTGGTTCTTAACCCACCTCAGACTTTTGGAATGAGATGACATTTTTATGCGAACTCAAAGAAACACTATTCTCCATTTTAATTTTCCTGGTCTAGTATACTCTCATTAAAAGCCCACCTTCCTCATCTTTGTACTAACAAAACTGTTTAAAAGTGTTTTTATTAGTGGAATACCTTCAGAATGTATTATGGTCAGTTCAGAAAATGGCAAATATGCCTTGGCATAAATATTACTGAGAAACAAACATGAAATTATATGTTTAGTTTTCTGAATCTTACAAACTTTTAAGAAAGTATTTGACTTCCATCATTCATTTCATTAACAAACAATTTCCAAATCACACTTTTGTTACTCCAGTGTTTTTTTTTATTTGGTAATACTCTCTTGCTTAACCTTATTTTAAAATAAAAATTCTAAAAACTTCAATTAGAATTAATATTCTGCAGATTAATTTTTACTTTACAAATTAATAACAGTCTTTTTTGATAAAACTACTAATTAAATGGCTAGCAATCATATGAAATGTTTATAAACAATCAGATTCATTTTACAAATTTGGAATTATTTTCTTTTATCCTGACAAATACAACTTTCCTAATCAAATATAAACTTGACTTCAGTATGTCATACAGTGACATTGGGAACCTTCCCTAAAAGTTAAAAGTAGAGCTTTACATTTTTAGCAAAAGAAGAACATTACTTTTTTGAGTTTGCTTATTTGAAATTTGAAGCAGAAAATGAAAAATAACAATTTTTATGGAAGTTCATTAAGTTTTATATCTTAAGGACAAATATACTCTTATATAAAACTATATCCGCTATATTTATACATCAACAAATCATACTTTTATTTCAATTATTTAAGAGGAGTAGCAATTTCCTTTTAAATAGCTATAAAGAACTATAAAACTCTTCAGCTCTATAAAGAATGAAATCCCTCCATCATCCATATTAAAATATGAAATATACTTGCAAATGTACCATCTTTCTTTTTGGGTTTCTGAGGCAGAACCTCACTACGTGGTTCAGGCGTTCCTTGAACTCAGTGATCATCCTGCTTCGGCCTTCCAAATGCTGGGATTACAGGCATGTGTCACTACACCCACTTACAAATATTTAAATATTAGCAAATATATATATATATATATATAAAATGGGAGTGCCTTCATCAAGTTTTCATTTTTGCCGCCCAAACACGAGTCTTCTGTTGCGCGAACAATTTGTTTACATAAAAGTCAGAAGTTTAGCTTAAACCCAACCTAAACAGTAGTAAGTGTGGAATGGAAATCAATAGAAAGTCTTCTACAGGAGAAAAAGTTCCCAAGTCTCTTAAGCAGCAAGAGTGCCTTCCCAATTTAATTTTCAATGCGCACCCTCCTCCACGCATCCTTGTGTGTCCAGGACCCTGAAAATAACAACAAAAATCTTAATAGTAATAACTTAATTTTCTATTACCTTTATGCAAAAGGAACAAGAAAATGCCTGCATTTACAAATTCATTTAAGTTACAAAGATGAGATGATAGGTTAGAGTGACTAAATAAAGTTTCAAGTTAAATTTTTTTGTCACATTATTACATCATTTCTTCTATTATGAAATTCATATACAGGCATAAAAACTTGGCAGACTATGGGGATTAATTTAAGCTAACATTTGCACCCTGTTCTAGTTCTTTTGTATACTCTCTATCAGATTTCTGATTCTTAATTTCTGCATTTATTAAATATAAAATTATTTCTTAAAAGTAATATATACAAGTGTAAACATATATAAAGTAAACAATAAGTACCTTTCCATAACTTTATAAAATTGCAGTTCCTTAAAAAGTTAACCATCTGTCCTTGTACTTTTACTCCTAGGCACATACTCATGTGAAATTAAAACATATGTCTATACAAAAACTTGTATACAAATGTACATAACACTATTATTTATAATAGCCAAAAAGTAGAAACATCCCCAATATCCAGCAACTAATGAGTGAATAACCACAGTGGGAGATCTTTACTGCGCGATATTATCCTACTACAAAAACAAATGAAGTATCGACACATGCTACATGGATGAGCCTTGAAAATATTAAGTAAAAGAAGCCAAACATGACATATAATTATACGAAATGTGCAGAACAGATAAAGCTGATGACTGGTTGCCAGGGCCCAGGAATAAGAGGAGACATGCACGTTAATGTGACTGATTTAGCTATTGCATAGTGTGCATATACTGTATGCCAAAACAACATGTCATGTACATGATGAATATACACAATTTAAAAAAGCAAGTAAGGGGTTGGGGATTTAGCTCAGCGGCACAGCGCCTGCCTGGCAAGCGCAGGGTTGTGAGTTCGATTCCCAGTACCGGGGGAAAAACAAAAGCAAATAAAATTAAATGTCAATTTAAAAAGCAAATAAAATAAAACACTAAATAAAGCTTTATGTACATGAGTGTATCTGTAAGATAAAGTCTAACAAGTGAAATTGCTAAGTCAAAGAGTATTTTAAATTATGATTTTGTCAAACTGCCCTACAAAGTGTCAAGACTCAAAAGGTTTCAGACTTTGAAGTATTTGGAGTTTGAATTTTTAAGACAGGATGTTCAGCTGGTAGAGTTTATGCCGATATCCTAAAGTCTGAAACCCGCAACACTTCTGGTCCCAAGCATTTCAGATAAGGAATACTCAACCCTCAACATTTCTTTATTTTTAAATGAGTATCCTTGCCTCTGTATTTTTCTATGAACTACCTATTCATGTCTTTTGTGTTTTTCTGTTGTTAGTCTTTAAAAATATCTTAAAATAGCAAGGTAAACTAATTTCTGTTTCAAAACAGCATATATCTGGATTAAAAAACTTTCAGTAAATTTGTATTTTGTTCTATTTCTTCTTTTTTTTTTTTGAGACAGGGTCTCACTATGCAATTCAGGCTGGCCTTGAGCTCACTTTGTAGCCCAGGCTGGTCTCGAACTCACAACAATCCTCCTGTCTCAGCCCCCTGAGTGCTGAGATTACAGGCGTGCGCCACCACGCCCAGTGGTTTTGTTCTATTTCATCTGTGACCTTCTGGTGTTCAGTAATCAAATCTTCATATGAATTAATTCCAGTAATTTATTATCTTGCATATGTACAGTTAATAAAGATCAGCCCATTTATTGACTGGTTTGTGGGGGAGGGATGGAAAAGAAGATGTCAGGAAGGGGGAATAAAATTAAAGCTATGCATGGGGGAGAGCAGTATCTTTAGTCACTGCACCTTGTCCCAAGGAAATAGCAAAAAAGATAAAACTTGGTTGTATTTGCCTAAATTTCTATATGCTCCACCTCAATATTGTTTTTTTCACTATACAATATGGCAAATGTGGGTATGCAAATGTCTATGCTGGTGGGAGTGGCGGGAAAAATTTGGCAAGGATTAGAAACATAATATTGTGTGCATTATTTTTGTTTTTTGTTTTTCTTCCGGTACCAGGAATCAAACTCATGACTTTGCGCTTGCCAGGCAGGTGCTGTGCTGCTGAGCTAAATCCCCAGCCCCTGTGTGCATTATTTCTGTATACTTGGAAGATTTCCCCAAAGGACTCTGTTTCAAGTGGACTGCACTATAACCGCCTACCAGTGATCTGATGTAGGAGTCCTATCCTGCTGCTTGTTTGGAGCCTACTGCAGGGGGGACGAGACTGTCCAGCTGTTGGCGGTGTCCGGTATTAACCAACCATTCATAGAACTTGTTCTCCACGAGTACCTGGAACTGTTTCCTTTGATCCCTAAAATGGCAATGGAGAGCAAAAAGCACATGAGAGCACTACTTCATATAAATGCATTCCAACTCATTATGTAACCCTTAAGTGGGATAATATTAAATCATCCTTGCTAGTTACCCTTTTGTTCTCATTTGGTTTACTTTATATTAGATCATTCCACAAAAGAAAAAAAGAATCGGTCAGTTACAATGTCTTCTCTGTAAGGACTTGTTTGCTGTCAGATACTTTACTGAGGACCAAACGCATACTGGGTAACATTCTGGCTGACGGAGATACATGTATGAGGAAAAGAGAAGAAACAAGGCCCTTGCCCAGGCAAGCGGGCACTGTACTCCAGAGGGCATACTGTCATCCATGTGGCCTATGTCCTGTGAACTGTATATTCTAGTAGGGAAGACAGGGAAGAAGGAAAATAATAATGATATGAAAGTAAATAGCTCTAAGTAACTTGAAGAAAAATAGAACACGGTAAAAGAACGTGAAGTATTAGAAACGCTATTTTTTAAAAAAGAGTGGACAGAAGAGGCCTCACTAAGGTATTTGGCAGAGGTCTGAATGAAGTGATGAAAGCAGAAGAATGGTTATATGGAGGGGAACGCCTGGCAGAGCAGGAGAAATAACAAAGGCTCTAACATTAGAGCACATTTCACTGTTCAAGATAAGAAAAACAAGAGGAGCTGCTGACAGCCCAGAGCCAGCTTGACATCAGCGAGGTCTTGGTGCAGCTGAGATCTGGCCTGTCTGTGGGGTTCTGTCAAGTACAATTCCACAGACACCAATGGCAGAAAAGACCACCGTGGGATGAAGACAGCCCAAGCAAGAACAAGAACCCTCCATAAGCACATCCGGTCCAAACCGTGAAGATAACCAAACACCGACGTTTCCTGGCTAGTCTACAAGTAGTTTCAGTTTCACTTCATTCCCTCCCGCCTTGGAGACAACTTATTAATTACCAATTACTCTCATTTCTTTTTTTTTTTGTCTCTTTGAGACAGGGTCTTGCTGTGCAGTTCAGGCTGGCCTTGAACTCGCAACAATCCTCCTGCTTCAGCCTCCCGATTATGGGATCAGATGGCTGGGATTACAGGCGTGCGCCACCACGCCCGTCTCCTCTCACTTCTGCATGGCAACCAATCCACCCCCCAAAAAAAGCCCTGCTTTCTAGGATTCTCCTCTAATACTACCTGACACAAAATTCAATTACAAATTCTTTTTTAACACTCTTTTACTGAGATGAAACTCAAGTCCTCCTTCTCTTTGGACTGAGTTGTCATAACCTACCCTACGGTTATATCATATAGTACAGATGCATTTGTGTGGTCTTCAGCAGAGGGCAATGACAAAGTAATAGCAGGAACACTGCCTGGTGGAAAAGAGTGAAAAAGGTAAATAATGCCAGAAAATGAGGCGCAGAGGGTAAAAGCTTTGAATCCTATTCCACATATGATGGTATTACAGCTGGGGTCCAATTACACCCCCCAGGCTGTGTTAAAGTCTCGGTTGCTGATGGGAAGTGACTGAGTAACAAGGACTCAAAGGACTCTAACTCCAAAGGATTAATCACTGATGATACCACACTCCAGGCATTACTGATAAATGGTGGAAGAGAAGGTACGGCCCAGTTAGAGTAGGTCACTGGAGCAGGACCCTGGACACTGTATCTGGTCCTTGGTCCTTCCTGTCTGGCTCTTGTTTTGCTCTATCTGCTTTCTGTCTGCCGTGATGTGCGTGGCTGTTCTCCGCCACACCTTTCCACCATGATGTTTGTCTTGGAGTCAGCTGACCATGGACGGAAAGCCTCTGAAACCACGAGCTGAAAATAAGCACGTTCTCTTTTAATGTGTGTCAGGTATTTTGTCTCAGCAGCAGGAAGGTGACTTATACAGATGGCAAGCCATGAAAGGGCTCAGAAAAAGGTAAAAGACACGATCCAAACCTTTGTACAGGACCATCTTGCAGTTTGTCTTCCTCTACAGATGTTCCCCAACTTAGGTGCTCAGACTTAACAAGATCCTCTACAGTCTACTATACTACTAAACTATGGTGTTCAGTACATTAGGGGTATTAAGTGTATTTTTCATTTACAATATTTTCAACTCACACTAGATTTACTGGAATGTAATTCTACTGTAAACTGAGGAGCATCTATCTGCCTTCCCAAAGTTACATTTCTGTTTCTAAGTGCCATCACTGGCTGGGCATGGTTGTGCATACCTGTAATCTCAGCACTTGAGAGGCTGAGGCAGGAGGATTGCTGTGAGTTTGAGGCCAGCCGTGGGTACAATGTGAGATCAAGGCCAGCCTGAACTGCACAGTGAAACCCTGTCTCAAAACGACCAAGTGCCATCACAATGATTGAAAACACTATGATGCACAGTTAACGTTTACTAAGTCCTCCCACATTCTAGACAGTGCACATCCATGTAAATGTTACACATATGTAAGAACATCCAAGTGTCTAAATACTAGAAAAATCCAAACAATTGATTTGCTTTCAAAATGAGCACCCACTTTTATATTATGTTACTACTGTACTATATGATATAACAATGGTTAAAAGGGAATACAGACATTAGATCCTCTGGAACCAGGTATGCCTTTGGATAAAATGCTTAATCTGTCAGCTCTTCAGTCTCTGTATCTACGGTAGGATATTGTCACAAAGGAGAAATGAGGTAGCATATAGAAGTACTCTCCACATTGTAAGTGCTCAGAACGCATCACCCACACCACCATCATCAGGATTATCTGACAGGCTAGAATGAGAAGGGCTGGCCTACATGGTGTTAATGTTTTGGTCTCTGTCTCCTACATACAGATAAGGGGGAATGTGTATAACAGATAGTAGCACTGCTATGATAATCGACTTCAGGTAAACCGTGAGTTGTGACCCTTACTGATCTTTATATTTTTTGCCCGTTACAAACAGTTTCAAAGAGTCTACATGCAGTTGTTTATATCAACACACTACAGCACACACTACAGAACTGCATAGCAAGACCCTGTCTCAAAGACAAAAAATAAAAATAAAAAATTTTCTAAGCTTGGCTCCAATTTTTGGAGTCATATTTGACTTTCTTCTTCACAAAATCTTGCACTGAGTCCTGCCTGCTGTCAAAACAGTATTTCTGCTCTCTATCTCCCTTCTTTCCACTCTAGTCCGGCCCACTCTTAGTCTAGACTCGTGATAGAGAACTTCTGAGATCGTTCAAGGATACCAACAGCCCGCTGCGGGACACGTGCCATAGGTTTGCCACCACACTAGACTATCAAAACATCACCATTCTAAATCTCACGAATCTTCCTGTGCGTCAGTCTCACTGATGTCTTCTGAGTTTGAGGACTAACACCCTTGAAACAAAATTTTGTGGTGTACCTAATAATCACAGCCACCTATTATCAGAAGCATAGTATTAAAAATAAATCATCTGGGGTATTTCCTACCCCCAAAGTGGGAAGGAAGTAATCTCACAATGACAGTATTTTATACTAAGTAAATTTAATTTCTGAAAAAAAGAAAACACTACTTATTTTTTACAATTGACCAGAGATTAGGGAAAACTCAGACAAAAACTGGCACTGGTTTATGGACCAGCAATGGAAGACACCCTTGAAGACTAAGTCTGGGTATGGTGGAGCAATAGAAATCTGTATTAACAAGCTCCTTGGAAAATTCTGATGTACAGGGGCTGGGGATTTAGCTCAGCGGCAAA